AATACTATTGAGCGTTTATTTTACATTACACTGACAAAACAAAGGCTGGCTCTCTGTACTGATGATACAGGTCGGTGAGAATTACAACCCCACAAATAGCTGCAAGTCATCCTGCTGCAGATGTGACAGCCTGTTAACTGTGAATACTGTAAATGAAGCCATTACTCAGGCTGTTGGCCCCACAGGAAAGATGTGCCCCTGCAGAGTGTAGAACAACACTGATCAGACCCAAACCTTCAGCCCATTGATTTACATTTCTGCTGAGTGTGTGTGTGAGTAGACAAACAGCTCATCCAGTGTCATGGGGGCCTTATTGGAGCTCTGCGTCTTTTAGTAAATAGAGCTGTGTAGGTTACAACCTTAGGGCACGGTGATGCCTTACAGCAACAAGGACCTGGGTTTGAATCCACCATCTGACCCAGCACCACCCGGGACTGGCTCCAGCCGCTTTCCTACACCCTGAATGTGATAAGTGGAAAAGAAGGGATCAATTGGAGGAATATTATTTTTTGAGTGCACCATTATTACTAGTTTATTCATGTCCCACTCCCGTTTTTTTTTGGGGGGGAGGCATAATAAAAGCTTGTTGGAACGTTTGACTGCCTTTTAAAAAAGTTGCTTCAACTCTAAACAAACAAGCTTTTTTATCCATGCTTTGATTTTTCCAGGCCCCCTTTTCCAAAGAAACTTGTTATTGCTGTCCTGGCTGATTTTGGAGAACGAAGACAAAATTGACAGTGATTTCCACGTGTGTTTAAATAAGTATCAGGAATATTTAAGTGTTTCTACAAGGAGGATGACACAAAAGCTATATTTTTGAAGTGTATTTGGCCACAGTCTTAACAAAAATTGTATCATAATGGTTGTTTTCAAGAGACATTTTGACACGTCACAGCAGGACCTGATAACACTGACAGTGGGTATAATAGTGATATTAATCAGGTGTGGGGAAGCTGTATTTATGAAATTCTCTTTTTTTTTTATTAACATTTTAGAATCACTATACAATACCATCAACTTCAGCTATCTTTCAGTACATATATATTTTTCTTTTTTTCTATATTTAAACAACTAAAATATCCATACAATAAGAAGAAAAGAAAAAGAAGAAAAGAAAAAGAAGCAAAACAGGAAACAACAAACAACATAAATAAAAAATACATAAGGAAAAAGAAAAAGGAAAGAAAAATAAATAAATAAATATAGGGAGTGTGTTTTTGTTTCCATTAATGTAACTAATATTTCCTCTAGTCTTCTAGTAGTTAACAAAGTCAAAATCTAATGCAAAAGCAAAAACTGGCCTGCGTTTTCTAATGTAGTCCATCCATTTCTTCCATCGTGATACAAACAGGTCCCTCTTGTAGTTCACATCTGCTGTCATTTTCTCCATTCTGTAAATGTCCATTGTGATGTTCATCCACATGTTCATAGTTGGGCTCTCTGAAGAAAGCCATTTTTTTGTGATGGCTTTTTTGCCTGCTGCCAGTAAAATATTAAACAAGTATTTATCGTTCTTTGTCCATCCTTCTGGCATAAGTCCAAAAAATAGAGTTTTACTTTCCAAAGGTAAATATCTTCCAAATGTCTCTTGTATTGCTGCATGTATTCCCTTCCAATAAGTTTTAATAACATGACAGTCCCAGAAAATATGATAGTGATTTGCATTTGTATTTCCACAATTTCTCCAGCAAGCGGGAGGGTTACCTTCATAGTGAGATTTTTGGTGAGGTGTAATAAAATATCTTATCAGGCATTTCCACCCAAATTCCCTCCAGCTCTGTGAGCTGCTACATTTCCATTGATATGCCCATATTGCTTGTCCATTCTTCCTCCTTTATCTCTATTCCTCCCTCCATTTCCCATTTTGTTTTGATATACAAGGTTGAGTGTAATTTCATATTTGTTAATCCTTTATAGAGGTCACCTATAATACCTCTATTTTTATTTGAACTATATGCCCTTTTAAACGTCAGCGTGTTTACTCAATTCAGCCTTAGCTTTTATCGTTTTATTGACAAAATGCCTCATCTGTAGACATCTATAAAAATCCTGTGTTTCTAATGAATATTTATCTTTCATTTTATCAAAACTAATTAGTCTGCCCTTCCTCCATTACCATACATAAAGCTGTTAATCCTTTATATGTCCAATCTTTGAATCTGGTGTCCAATTTATTTGGAGCAAAATGTGTGTCATATGCACACCACTTAAGAACTGCTATATCCTCTTCTAGTTTATATTCTTTTATTACTGTTTCCCAAATTTTAAAAGTCAACTTGATCCATGGATTTTCAATAGTTTTTATTAAATTTTGCAAGCTTCTGTCTGCTATAATAGCTTTATGGGGATGGAAGTCAGACTCTCCTCAATACTTTCCATTGAGCGTCGTATGAAGGATTACATCAGCATATCATAGGCCTTAATTGTGCTGCCCAATAATATTCCCTAAGAGAAGGTAAGCCCCACCCCCCTTTTCCTTTGTTAAGTTGTAGGGTTTTAAATCTAATTCGGGGCCTAAAGGCATGAAAGAAAAACATCTCAGGATATATTGGAGGAAATTAGGAAAACAAGAAATGAAATAAATGATTTGACCACATATGAAATTTAAAAAAAATTAATGTTTCTTAAACAAAGGTATTATGAGGGAGGATCAAAAGCAATGAATGTATTAGCCTGGAAACTAAAAAAGAAAATAGCAGATAATACAGTTCACAAAATTAAACATCCAGTGACAAAACTAATAAAAAATAAACCAATAGAAGTTCAGAGTGCATTTGAAACATTTTATAAGACTCTTTATGCTAATAACACAGAGAGTAGTATAGTTGAAATTAACAGTTTTTTAGATTCTCTTGATTTACCAGTACTGAATGAAGAACAGAATAAAACTTTGATTGAAGATATAACAGAAAAGGAACTAAGAATAGCAATAAGTAAAGTTAAAATAAATAAATCTCCAGGATCAGATGTATATACGTCAGAATGGTACAAGGAGCTAAAAGAAGAATTAATACCAGTGGTCGACTATCTGGATATAGGGTTAATATGAGTAAAACACAATTGCTTAAGTACAATTATATTCCATCAGAAGAAATTAAAAATAAGTATCAATTAGCATGGCAAACAGAGTACTTTAAATATCTAGGAGTCATAATACCGAAGGATCTTACAGAACTATTAGAACGAAATTATTTACCAATACAAAAAAAAAAATTAAGGAAGATATAGCGAGATGGAATCTAATTCCATATTTAAGTTTATATTCGAGAATAGACTCAATTAAGATTAACATTCTTCCTAAATTATTATATTTATTCCAAACATTACCAATAGAAATTAACCAGAAACAGTTTAATGAATGGGATAAAATTTTGTCAAGATACATATGGCAAGGAAAATTTATGAAATTCTTAATTCAGCATGAATATAAATATCTGTTGTTTGTTATCATTATTATCGTCCACATAACAGAATCTATTCCTAACGGCGTCGACGACATGCTTCAGTGTATCACAATAATACGTTTTAAATACAATTTTATGAAATATTTTAGAAAAAAAATGTAAATGGTTTAACGATAAAGCTTTCATCCTTCTAAAGAAGACTGTGTGTTTGCATCGATTCCTACAAGCTGAGTCCAACTTGTGTCTGCTTTTCACCATCGTTTGATTGGAACTGTAACTCAACAAAAGCTCTGAGCTCCAGCGAGTCGTGTGTGTGTGCACCATGGGCCTCGTTTTTCAGTGAATGTATCGGCCACCGAAACTCAGAAGTCTGCTGCTGACAGCGGCCTCTCAGGGGACGCTTACTGCACTGCTGGAAAACCCCTTTAAATTTAGTAACAGAGAAAAATGAGTCAGCAGCTGACCTTGTAGT